TTCCTCTGTCCTTGTTCTTTTGGACCTCTCAGCGGCTTTTGATACTGTGGACCACAGTATCATGCTGCGGCGGTTGGGTGGGTTGGGAGTGGGAGGCACTGTGATGCGGTGGTTCTCCTCCTTCCTCACCGACCGTACGCAGTCTGTATTGGCAGGGGGACAGAGGTCGACCCCAAGGCCCCTAACCTGTGGGGTCCCAGAGGGGTCGGTCCTCTCTCCGCTTCTGTTCAATATTTATGTGAAGCCGCTGGGGGAGATCATTCGTGGCTTTGGGGTGGATTTCCATCAGTACGCTGATGACACTCAGTTGTACATATCCACCCCAGGCCACCCCAACGATACCCTTGAAGTGATGACCCGGTGTCTGGAGGCCGTGAGGGTCTGGATGGGGAGGAACAGACTCAGGCTCAACCCGTCCAAGACCGAGTGGCTGTGGTTACCGGCGCCTCGGCATAGTCAGCTGATTCCATCGCTGACTATAGGGGACGAAACTTTGGCCCCCTCGGAGAGGGTACGCAACTTGGGTGTCCTCCTGGATTCGCGGCTGACGCTGGAAGACCAGTTGTCGGCCGTGACCAGGGGGGCGTTTTATCAGGTTCGCCTGATTCACCAGTTGCGGCCTTTTCTGGACCGGGACGCCCTACGCACGGTCACTCACGCCCTTGTCACCTCCTGCCTGGACTACTGTAATGCTCTCTACATGGGGCTCCCCTTGAGGAGCACCCGGAGGCTCCAGCTGGTCCAAAATGTGGCCGCGCGGGCGGTGTTGGGGGGGACTTGACGCTCCCACGTGACACCGCTGCTGCGCGAGCTGCATTGGCTGCCTGTGGCCTTCCGGGTGTGCTTCAAGGTGTTGACTATCATCTTTAAAGCGCTCCATGGCATCGGACCCGGATACCTTCGAGACTGCCTCCTGCCGCAGATTACCTCCCATCGACCTGTACGCTCCCACAGAGTGGGTCTCCTCAGGGTGCCGTCGGCCAGACAGTGCCGGCTGGCGACCCCAAGGGGGAGGGCCTTCTCTGTGGGAGCTCCCACCCTNGTGGCCTTCCGGGTGCGCTTCAAGGTGTTGACTATCATCTTTAAAGCGCTCCATGGCATCGGACCCGGATACCTTCGAGACCGCCTCCTGCCGCAGATTACCTCCCATCGACCTGTACGCTCCCACAGAGTGGGTCTCCTCAGGGTGCCGTCGGCCAGACAGTGCCGGCTGGTGACCCCAAGGGGGAGGGCCTTCTCTGGGGAGCTCCCACCCTCTGGAATGAACTGCCCCCAGAGATCAGGGTCATCCCTGATCTCCCTTCCTTCCGCCGCGCCCTTAAGACTTGGTTATTCCAGCTTGCAGGACTGGCCTAGGGTAATTTTTAGAGGGGTTTTAATTACATTTTAATAGGACAAAGTTTAATATTTCTTTTAATTAATTTTAAATTTGTATTGTTATTTATGTATTTTAACTGATTGTCAGCCGCCCTGAGTCCGCGAGGAGAAGGGCGGGATATAAATCCAAATATAAATAAAATAAAATGAGACTAGAGCCTCAAAATAATTCCACTCATGAGTCTAAATTTCTTATTTGAAGAGTAAACTGTAAAAATGAGCTAACAGAGCCAAATGGGAGAAACACTGTGACTATTTAACCTCATGCTTTGAAAGAAATTATCAAGATTATTTTCACCAAATATAACTTTTTTAATCAATTTCAGAATTGATTTTTCAAGCATGCAGAAAAGCCCAAATCGTTTCATTGTTTGCATGATGGGAGCAGTACAACTTTAGAAAAAATAATAATAACAAAGTTGGACCTGGATTTATGCTTGAGTTTCTGGCTTAAAAAGAACAGCTTAAGAAATCTACACTGCGAACAGCAACCGAAGAACACAATATACAGTATATCAGGAATTTCTAATGAAGAGAAAAGGGTTACAGACAAGGGACAGTAGACAACAAAACAGTAATGACTTGTTATTGCTGGAGAATATTATTCTACTTTCTACCTTTACATTCTTTCAGTTAGTAGGATATCTAAACACAGCAGTTAAATACTACTTTATAGTAAACAGAGTTGAGCCTTGGAAATTCCACAGGAAGGATTTTCTGTTATGGAAGCAGGCAGCGGGAAAGACTATGTACAATGGTAGCAGGAGGGAAGGTTAAGATTGCTATGTGAGAAATACAAGCTTTAATAAAAATGAGGACAGACAGAAATAAAAGAACACTGCAAATTCCGCAAAAAGCAAAAGCAAAAACTGAATCAAAACAACAAACAAACAAAAAGCATACTCCGGAAAAGTATGTGATAGCAGAAGTTGTAAATTTTTGCCAATTCAAATAAGCAGCATTGTTGCATAATGGGAGGGATTTTTCAATGGTCAAAATTCAAACCAGAAAGAAGAAAGGCAACACAGAGTTTATATGCTATATATTGAACTCTTTGTTTTTCATCTTGCCAAGAATTGTGAGGCCTTCTCCCAACAGCACTTCTGGAGTATATTTAGCGACTAAAGCTGCAGTGTGCACAAATGTCACATTCCCATGAGTAAAACCCATTTAATTAGCCCCTCCTTCTCAAGATATTCCCATGAGATGTTTGCGTAGAATTGAAAAGCTGAACATATGGATGTGACATCATCAAGGCATCAGTGGCATTGGAAACAAAGCAGCAAGTGACTGAAGAATTAGTACAATTAAAGGCATGTCATTTTTGAAGTGTGTGAAACAAAGTAAAGGAAAGCACCTTTCACAAGAATAACAAAACAAAATGAAACAAATCACCAACAAAGCATTTTGCAAATCAAAGATTCAAGGCATGAAAAAAAAGTATTTGCAAGAAAATAAATCCACAACCAAATTAAATACACAGAAGATTAAGCATAACACTCTCTTTAGAAAGTGTTTAGTGTCTCTTTCCTTTGCCCTTGAACAAGGAATAAGCTGCAAGTGATTTGGGGTGTGCAACATATTGTTGGTTTGTTTTGTTGCAAATGGATCTGAGGTGGGCAAAGGAAGGAAGAAGAGCACAGAGATATGTGATAATGGTAAACAACCATGCAGACACCTCTGCCACCATTGTTTGCTTGCTTTAACGTGTACAGACTGCTTCCAGCTTTGTTAATATTCCTAATTAGACCCCAAAGATTCCATGGTATTTAAATAAGCAAGTTAAGTTCTGACAAATTGCCTCTGGTAATTTCATTCAGAGAATTTCAAGTCAAAATAATTATGATCCAATCAGCTTTCCACTTATGATAAATTGATCAAAGACTTGGAATTTGGAAGTGAAAAGTAAATAGCCTGTCCATTAAGACAACTGCTGTAATATATATATACAGTATATATAAAAACCACATAGAACAAGATGCTTTTATCAATTTTCTAACCGTTATCTTTTAAATGTAGAGACTGATCAATTGGTTGAAGCTACCTGTTAAGAAGCATTACTGAATTGGTGAGGCAGATTATTTTCATGATCTGAGCATTTTTGCTTCTATATCATTCCATTTGAAAATTAGCAGTTTCTTTTCATTAAGAGTAAGGTTGAAGTTAGTAATTGATGCATCCGAAAGCCCCCTCTCGCCATTAAATACGTGCTCTTTCGTGACTACCCCATTCTAGCTTTTAATGAAAAATATTAATCACATAAGATATACTGCTGCCTTATGGATTACCTGCCTGAAAAGGAATATGCTAATGTACCTGATAATTCACTTAGTGGACAATTTAAAGAGCTTAAAAACTTAATACAACTCTGAAACTGAAATTTAAAAAGCCAACAGAGAAAAGACCCCCTCCGCTAAATTTACAGATAAAGAAAAGTCCAACTAAAGTGGCATTTTACTGTGGCCATTCATCAGCAACTCTGTTTAATTCCTTCAAGCACAATCTGCTCAGAAAAAATCTTTCAAAATGAATGGAGCCACTTCAAGCTGAATATCACTTCAGTTGAATTTGAATCATGGAATCTCTTGTAGATTGCACCTTTAATATCAAATGATTATTTTTTTAATGTTACTTCATGGGTTGAACTTGCTTTGCTGCTTAAACTAATTAAAAAACCGAAAGTACTTTTACACACTCGACTCCACTGGAAGTGCAAGTGGGGATTAATGTAAAGCCAAGACTTATATGTTATCACCATCACTGTTTTCATCACTATTACCATCTGAGCTTAATTAAACCTTCCAATCTTGTATCAAAACATGTTCAAACCTATAGTCTTGCATTTGTTTTGTGTGGTTTTTCATTGCCACTGAATGGCTAGAATAAAATTTATTTTTTAAAAATGGTTCATTTTGATGTGTTTGTGTATGTGTGTGATACACTTTTAATAGCAGAAGAAGACTTTTACTTCATGGTACTGTGCAGTAGCTGGAAGCAGTTACACTGAAGTCAATCCCCGCCCTTGCCCCCACAGGAAGAATGATTTCCAAGGCCTTACCCTTTTTCTCTTGGTGATTATGGGACGAAACAGCCACATACGGATTGGTATTCTCAGATGAGCCAATGTGATCCTTCCAATTTAGTATGTGCCCTCCAGCATCATAACCCTGTTGGGCTGGAGAGTCTGAAGTAGACATGCTGGGAAGTAGCGAACTGGAGTGTCCTGTTTGCACCATAAATACAGTTAAGGATAGTGAGAACAAGCAGTTTGGTAGCAAGCAACATTTCTAAAGGTATTTGTATAGCCAGATCAAGGAAGGAATGTGCACTCTTGTAAATCAAAACTCTGCTCTCATTTTATTTGGAACATGCAGGACAACATCTGACAGAAAAATAAACAAACAAACAAACAAATAAATAAACCGGGCCATCGTCTTTTGCAGAAGATTTTCAACTTAAACAAAGGGCTACATAAAAATTGGCCGTTCTGGTTCCACTTATGCTTGGTTTGGCATAAATAGTACAATTTATATATTTGATTTATATCCTGTCTTGCCATGCTATCAGATGATAAAGTAGAATTGAAAAAATATATATATTTATAAATATTTTTTATTTATAAATATATAAATAATATGATTAAGAAAGCGACTGACTCTACACAATTCTGGGTGGCTTATCATTTTAAAATCAGGAAACAATAAAATAAGAATGCAGGCCACCAGTTCCCCAAAGGAAACTGTACATAACAGACAAAAAAAAAATCCACTGTGGCTCGCTAATCACTGGGAGAACAGCCAAGAGTGGAGCCATGTGGCTCTCTAGGAGGATTCTATTGCACAGATTTAAGTAAAAAAAAAAAAAGCTTGAGCTGTATCTTTTAAACAATAAAGGAGGCCTCATATGGTTCTTTCTAAAAAGTAGGTTCTAGAGCTGTTGCAGCCCATCATAGAAAATGCCTTCAAATGAAATGTGGAGGAGGATTAAGCCAAACAATCTCACGAAATACAAGTTGAGAATAAACATCCAATCAATGTAGCCAGACTCTACTTAAAAGTGACTTATCCTCAGAAAACAACAAAAGCCAGCAGAAGGTCTTATGAATTGGGAGCACCTATCTCCTTTTGCCACCTATCCTCCACCCACTGGAAACCAAGTGCTGCAGTTGGTATTGAAATCGATACATAACAACATTTTCAAAGTTGAGAGGTTTGCATCAACTGGAATAAAACATTACAATGAAAGGTAGACAATGAGATTTTATTTTGCAGATGAGACAAACATAGAATTTCTGGACTGAATAATGATTCTTTTTCACATCCAGTGCAAAACCATTCATTTAGCTAATGTGCATTCTTGGTCTTAACCTCGGTAATACAAAGTGATATGGCTTGCTTTGGGATGATCAGGCCCTACATCTGTTCTGGGAAGTCCAGTGGACTAAATAATACCGAGTAGACAGGAGCAAAGGAGCAAAGCTATACTGTAGGTAACTTAAGGACAAAGGGGGAGGATGTTAAGCAAACCAGCAGGATTTGTAAAGTTATCAGTCAGGTTCTTTATAGTTTCCAAAAATCTTTAGGATAAAGCTGGTACTAACTGAAGCCCAAAATATCTGAAACACCAGACTGCTTATCCCTGCTTTACAGAACTGATATTAATGCTTCTCATACAATTCATATAAGGTTTTTTTTTCTACAATTAAAGAACTCTTGCCATTCCTGATGTATAAACTAGATAAAGCAAATCAAATCAGATTCAAAGAGTTTCTTTTTGGCTAGAGTCATAAGGAACAAAACTTAAACCCTGATATAATGGGTTTATAATTGTTTTTCACCTGGAAATCACATCGACAAGAGCACTATATTATTCTATATCACTAAGTCTAATTTCTGAGTCTAGTTTCATCAGCTCGCCATTAATACTGGCCTCAGAACTGATAATTGGACTTTACAGAATATTAAACTATTATATAACTATCAAAATTATAATTCCTTAAATATAAAAATGGGGAGCTACAGAAAATAAACTTCATATTATTTATCTACAAGTCATTTGGAAACATAATTCAAAGATAATTGCAAAGGAGGAACTGAATCTTGGCTTCAGGCCTTAGTTACTATTTTAAAAAAAATAGAAAACGTGACTTCTATGTAAGTGGGATTACTGCAACTAATATCCTTAAAATTGAACCTCATAGAGATCCTTTCAGAGGAGGGAGTATAGGTTGCATGTGACCAAACATCTGTCAAGATTGCATACAAATACAGAAGGAATGTTGTTTTGATATCAGAGTGATTAGAAAAGGGTACTTATGCTGAATACCAGTTTCATGTTCATCCCATAAAATGTCGTGGGTTTCTCACTCAGCCTTCTCTGAACCGATTCTGTAAAGTCCTAACATTTGTTTACATCTTATTTATCTTTAAAAGGGATGTGGTTCTCAGCACAAGAAAGCAATTGTTTCCAAAAGAATTAGAAATGTATGTGGCTCTTGACAAATAGTATTTATATCTAGTTTTGATATTCATTTTGCTCTACATTCAATATATAAATCTTCAGTTAGTCCAAGATCTATAGATGATTTTATGTTTAATCTGTTCATATAGTTAAGTAAAACCATTTTTCTTAATGTGATAATCTAGAGGAAATATTTGCTTCTGGGACAAACTATGTGCTTCAGATATATGCAGAACTCAGTGATAATGGAAAGCTATAACTATATAAAGGAAATAATGGGTACCAGAACTAGAAAGAGCTGCACAGAAACGAGGTTTTCCCTGTGTTATTAATACATTACAGCCTATGTGGAAAGTTAAGTGTATAACACCTAAGAAATTTTGGCAAATGTTAGAGTCCAAGTATACAAACAAGGATTTTCATTTCCAATCTGGGAAGTTGCCAGGGAGATTTGGTTATTAATAGGTAAGTGATTACAGTTTGATCCTGAATCACACAAGAAACAGACACTGTTAAATAATCCAATTTAAAAATAGTGTGGAATGTTTTACTGGAATGCTTGGGCTAGATAAGGGATCAACACTTTAGATCAGTTGATTTCTAATGGTTGCTTTAAACTTTGAGAGACTGCATGTTGAATATGACTTACCTATAATATTCACTTGGCAACAGATGCAATTGAAACATTGTAAACTTTTTGATTAACTGGTATAACCTGGGTGGTTTAAGAGACTTCAAGCTACCTGCAGTTATAGGATGCTTAAAGCTAACTTAATCAATGTCTTGCCCCATTGTACAACTTTTCTTGCTACAGTTAAGAAAATCATTGCAATTGTAAAGTTAGCAACACAGTTGTTAAGTGAATCTGGCTTCCCCACTGACTTTGCTTGTCAGAAAGTTACCAAATATGATCACATGACCTCGGGACACCTGCAAGTGTCATATGAACCAGTTGCCAAACAGCTAAATTTTGATCACGTGATGAGAACGCTACAATAGTGTAAGTGTGGAAAAGGTCGTAAGTCACTGTTTTCAGTGCCGCTGTAACTTTGATCACTAAATGAATTGTTGTATGCAATAGTGGCGAGTATCTGTAGCTTGGGTGTAGGATGAAGGTGAAGGGTTTGTTCTCCAAACTTGTGGGTTGGTTTCTGAATGTTTCGTTACCAGGCTAGGTAACATCTTCAGCAGAGTTCAGGGGATGTCAGTGTTCTTCTTCATACAGAAGAACACTTTTATCCCCTGAGCTTTGCTGAAGATGTTACCTAGCCTGGTAACGAAACATTCAGAAACCAACCCACAAGTTTGGAGAACAAACCCTTCACCTTGTATGTTGAGGACTACCTGTAATCCGTCTGTAGCATAGAATTATTACTTGCAACTTTCAAGACTGTAGCTTGAAAGGTGTCCAAGGAGTCCTTTTTATTATTTGTTAGTTATTTGTGGAATACAACAATACAATTTATATAGTTCAGTAGTATAGTAGTATACAAAAGAGAAATTAGATTTTGTTAAGAGCACTGAAAGGTAAGGATTTGGAAAATTTATGAGAAGGTAGTTAGTTATAGTATATGTTGCAAGATGGCAGATATTCAGGTGCCCAGTGCGTTATTTTGTTAAGTGACTACAGCAACCAAAGGAACTAAAAAAGTTAAATTATCGGTGCAGAGGGAGGGAAGATGTAAATGTACCATGAAGGCATGGTTCACTAAAACTGATGAAGAACAAAGTCTTAAAGGAAGAAAGCCTTTTGTATCCTTCAGTTCATATGCACATGCAGTTGGCTTCTTAACAAAAGAGGTACTGTACTTTGCTCAGCTAGCACGGTTAGTTTGGACGTGGGAAACCACTATGCAGAAAAGGTCAAATGTGCAGCTTTTTTACTTGTAGCAAAGTTTTATAAATATAAAAAAACTACTGGAGTTTGATCTTCCAGTGGAGAGGCCAAAAATGAGACTTAATGAGCAGGGAAGCGACTATAGCGAGCAAAGACATCTATGTGTTGGGCATTTGGAAATATGCTACTGCATGTCCCTCCATCACTGTACTTGGTTCGCCAGGAAATAAGCCAAAAAGATTTATGTGAATGTTTACTCAAACAGACATAATTTCTTTATTACTTAAATAATTTTCTGCTTTTACATGGTTGAAATAGAAAAAAAGTATTTACAAACAAAACAATTGCATGTTGGATATCATAAATGGATTTATCTTATGAAGGGAAATAAGCTAACTGAATTTAGTGATATTTACTTCTTCTAGCTGTATTATTACACTATAGGATGACTGCCAATATTGTGATATTGTGCATTATTATACAAGAAAAGAGCTTGAAAAATTAAAAAAATATTTTTACTTAAAAATAGTTCTGAATGAATGCTGTAAGAGATGGAAAAAAGTTGTTTTAAGGATTGGGATCAATTCAACTCATTAAAGCATCCATGCCTTTTTTCAGGCTTACATTGAAACCTGAAAAAAAATGCATCTGCTTTGATTATAGGTGCTAATCTTAAGTGACAAAGCAATTTTCCCAAAGTGGTTTTGAAATGTGTACAACTGTAATAATTTTAATTTTGGCAAGTGATCAGAGTGGTGGTTGAAATTTCATCTGCTGCCAACAGTTCAATGGCCAAAATTAAAAAAACACATTGTCTTTCTTGACTGAGGTGTTTCTTCTCTTGTTTTGGGATTATAGTTGTATTTTTTTCCTTTATGCAATCATCTGCTAAGAATTATTTGATGCCATATCTATTCAGCTAGCCTTGGGGGAGTTGCAATGCCATATGAGAATAGCTGTATTGTCTGCTTCCCCCTAAAATTAATAGTTTCAGTTATATATTTGTTTCAGAATTTGGAAAAAAATTGACAAAATACTTTTTTTCTTGCCAGAAATTTTAGCAAAAACCTGTTTACAAAATCCCACACAGTGTAGGAAGAGATGCTAGATTCAGCTGAATGCATACTATGAATTTTGTGCCAATAAACTACAGACAGCAACTCCAAATGATATGAATTTGTTATCTGGGAAGAAATATTTATATAATGTTTACTAAAAATATGAATTATTAGGCATAATATGTTAGTTAAGAAGTACAGTTCTAAGGGGAAAGTTGCAAATTAAAAGACTGTGATGATTAGAATCCAGGATGATAAGAATTACTCTTACTCCTCCCCCCTTCACTTCCCATGTTTTTGTCCTAAACATTTGCTTTTGTGTTCTGGGAGACATCCTGGATGTATACTGATTTTTTGAAGATTGTTCCCTTCGAAAGTTGGGAATTCTAATTAATTCTGTTGAATAAATGAATAATGTAACTGCATGTTGTGTTGTCTATGTGCTCCAAATTGTCCTTTTAATTGAATTACACTAACTTGATTTGGTTCTATCCACTTAGTTCTATTACCTTTGCTGCTTGTCTATGGGTCATCCAGATATTTCCAACCTGGATGTTGTAGCATATCTCCCCACTTTGAGTCAGTGTTGACTCCTGGAAACTACCTGGACTAGGCATTTTTGGAAGTGGTTTGCCATTGCCTTCTTCCCAGGGCTGAGATAAAGTGAATAGCACAAGGTCAGCCAGCTGGCTTTGTTCCTAAGGCAGGAATAAAACTCAGTCTCCTGGTTTCTAGTCTGGTGCCTTAACTACTACACCAAACTGGCTGTCATCGTAGCCCTAGTACTAGTCAAACAAACAACTTTCATAAATGGCTACCTTATTTGTGTACTGACTACAAGATTATTTACAAGAACATGATAAACCTTTTGGGTACAAGCAGTTTAAAAGCAAAATGTCATAACCGAACTGCTGTTTATCCAAACTATACAAGACTCAGACTGTTCTTCTTTTCAACATTCAGTATTCTCTTAATGCTGCTGTTTGTTTGAGCATACAATGTAGACAAATATCTTCATAATAATACACTGACCAACCACTACCTAGGAATAATTATATTTCAAAATTCTTCAAGTGTTGGCTGTATTGCCAGGCCTGGGAATTCCATGTGGCTGGAGACCTGCTCAGATGACTCCATTGTTGAGGTAGCTATTTTTACCCTCCCTCTCCTGTGGTTTGTATTTTCACTTTTATATTTATTAATAAGGATTTTGTTTTGTGTATGGTTCTTATTGATTTTTATTCACCTCACCGAGATACCTTGGTTGAGATA